CCAATAGAACCCTAAACCTGGAAATACTGGTTCAGAGGCAAACATGTTACATCCTAGATCACGCGAACATAGTGTTATATATGTTTGAGACTTTTGAATCGATGTGCATATTGGTACTAGCCAATAAACTTGAAAATTTAGCTGAGTTTTGCTAGTAGTCATTCTAACGCTAGTATCGGGGATTGTATGGTTGATAAAATGCATCATAGTGTGGAGTTACGTGAAATGATATTAACTTCACAGATCGACGCCCATGCCGAAAATAACTAAGCTGGGTCAAGAAATTCATTTTTTCGTGGATTAGAATATATTATTGGGAAGCAAAAAAAATGCAAAATTTGCTTGCTCTTTATTGGACAGATTATTCTTTTCTTCAATAACATAGTGCAAATAATGCCATTCTATAGCAATACGATTCTTGGAAGCCATGACCAAATGAATATGAAGTTAGAACTACCAAATAGTTTATAGCAGATCCAAATCCTTAGTGTATCTAGACGAGGCGAACCTGATGCCAAAAAATGTATTGCTGGACACCACAAAACCTGGCATGGATATGTTTACTCAATTGTTTACTAATGTTAATGGTATTATCTTACCGAAAAGTCCCACAAGACGTAATTATGTCAATTATGCCTTGTTAACACTATTTGTCAAAGTATAAGGACGCTTAAAGTGCTTATTTTTAATATTAAAAAATCGGAAATTTATACAAACCGAGAGTTTTCAGATTCTCATCTTTTTCGTGGGTTGCTTGCTTCTTCCTTACACACGATCCCAGTTCTTCTTCCTCCTCCAGCTCCTTGTCAGAGGAGACTAAGTCCTCTGGGCCACCGACGCTCAGACGCCTCAACCACCAGATCCGTGCCGTCCCGTCGGCCGAAGCTGAGGCTAAAACCTTGGTCTCCTTGAGCCCTACCGTCCGCACCCTCTGGTTGACTTGTAGACAGTCGGATTCTCTTGAATTAAGGGTCGCCGACAAAGACCAGGCTAGGTTGTAGACGACACGAGTGTGCCCAGTCAGATAGAGCACTGGCTTCTTGCTGGAAATGCTGGAATCTATGGGATACTGTAGCAAAGAAATGGAACAGGGGTTGAGCAAGCCAATATTTCCTCCAATGTCTAATCATCCATACAATCGGTTGTACCACCACTTATTTGCTCCATTTTATGTATGGATAAATTTCCAAAACAACTTTCGGGCCTCACAATTTTATAGTCTAAAGGAATTATGCAAAATGAAGCCACTTATAGTTGCTTTGACCGAATTAGACGACGAGATCTGCTCACAAAATTGCAAACATTTTCACTTACCCGATGCTATTGGCACACTGTACTATTCATACCTCAGGACACTTTGTGAGAGGATGAGTAAGGCAAACAAGACTGCCAGCAATATGGTGAAGCCCATCGTATTTAGAGCTACTGCCTTAAGATGTATGTGGACCAACAACATTTAGTGTCCACTTGAAAACGACTTCTAACTTATGTTAAAACATATGAGTTGTATTCACCCTATTTAGTTTAGGCTGACGAAGGGCTGGTAGATGATGTTTCCTACAATTATATGAGTAGAGCTGGCGTTTCCACTGAATTTCACATAGGCTTGCTTTCTCAAAAGATGTTCTCATTCAGGGTGGACTGCAGTTTCGACCTCCCATAGGTTTTATCAACACCCCTTAAGCGGGATTCGAACCATGACAGTGCAACGTGTAAACTCGACATGTTAACCACTACGCCACATTGCCACGAGTGCGAAAACCTACTCACTTACGAAAAAACTAATTTCATCAATTACTAAAGCAAATATAAGTTTGCTTGGTCGACAATCAGAATACAGAATGTGATATGGAAAAGGCCTGACATTCCTGGAAATTCACACCCCTGTGACCCAATGGCACTAGTGGCAATGTGGCGTAGTGGTTAATGTGTCGAGCTTAAAACCCTGAACTGTCATGCTTCGACTCACGCTTGGGGTGTTGATATGCGAGGTCGAAACTGCAGTCCACCCTGGATGAGATCACCTATTGGGAAAGCAAAGCTATGCGAAATTCAATGGAACGGTCAGCTCTACTCAGATCATTGAGGAAAAAATCAATTACCAGCCCTTAACCACCTTAAACAGAATAGGGTGAATATAACTCATATATCTGATTTTGTGGCAGTCTCAAAGACCTACTCATTTATGATGCAAAAACATTTCACTATATCTATTTTAGGAGAAGGGCTGCTATTCCATCTCTTCTTCACATCGTCCTATCAGTCTCACTAAGTATCTTGATTGGAACTTCAGCAAAAAGACCAGCTTGATTATGGTGGAGTACCGGGACTACAACTGTCCCCCGCACCACTTCAGGAATCATAGCCCTTTATTACTTACGGCGTAAACCTATGAAAGATGAGTCCATATAACTTTTATCAAGAAAATTATATTGATTCGGTAAACATTTCTTGGTCATTCAACACTGATTGTAGTACTATTGTTTTAGTACCTACCACATACTTTACCCTTTTGATAAACATGTATGAAATATGAGCTCCCATTTATGCTGATAACGTTGGGGTACTTTCGTTTTATTAATGCAATAATTTTCAAGAAGCGGTTCGGCCTTATTTACAAAATTTGGTCGTATTGTCAAAGATTTCCATATAAATGCATTTTGTCTGGATTCCTTTGCCATAGTAGACATGACAATTTCTAGCGCCTGAAGGTGGACTTAGTACATTCTCAGACGTTTCGCCTGTATCGTAGCCGGCATCATCAGTGAGCCTTGCCACGCTTATCACCAAACTAAAATTTTATAAAACAAGTTTCATGTTTAGACAGTGGAAATTATCATCGTGACTGCTATAGTAAAGTACTCCGGGCAATTTCACCTAGGTCCCTCTGACGACACGACTAAGTTGTGGAAACGAAGTCAAATCACTTCGCGAATGTGATTGCCAAGCGAAAATAAAAAATAATTTAGCGTAATCAGCATGAATGTAAACTCGTCTTTTTTACAGTGAAGGTATGTAATAGTCACTTAAAAAACATTTATTAACCAGAATCCAAATAGAGCAAGGATGTGGTTGACGCTTCTTCTGTGCACGAGGTCAAAGCAATTATATTCAACCAAAGTAGATCACGACCATGGTAAAGATAAGACAAGCTTTGTCTTCACATCTCCAATAAATTTCAAGGTTTTTTTATCTCAAGACCGTACTGACAGGCATTTACTCCCTATAGCGTCAGACTTTGTTCTATAGAGTTGTCATATATATATATATATAATGTAGAAATATTTTAATAGCTTAGTCCCCCTATATATAAGTTGATTTCCTTTTGAACTCAGATATTATGTTCTACTTGAAAGAAAGCTTGTGTTAGACAAATCCCGACTGCTAAGCTTTTAAATTTGATTAGCTCAATGACTATTCTCTGTCCTCTTATAAAGGAATGTACATCGAAGATGGTTTTATGCCAGTCTGAAAAGTTTGCAAATGTAAATTGAACGTATATACCAAGGATATATCAATGTTTCAGGGACCCATAGTCGAGCAGTTTACTTGAAATTAAAGATAAGCCTGCTTTTGGCATTCGCTTTCACTATATGATATGTCTAAAGGATGTGACAGTGTCAGTATTTACTCAGGCCGACCTCGCTTGACTATCAGCAGCCCTCTAAATAAGAGGTAATCCCAGATTAGAGTGCAAATATCTTACCCCATACCTCTTGGTCTCCAGTATCAGCTGGCTGTAGGGTGCGTGCGACTGAAATTATTATAGACCTTTCGGTCATATGCCATAGTGAGGAATTGTCATTTAGACAGATATTTGTTTTATAATTTTTGGATAAAAATTGTTGCGGTTTAAATGCTGTTTGCCGTCGCTTTGACGTAAAGAAAAACTCTTTGTCGAAAAGTTGGAATAAACTATCAAAGTCCGGATTGACCCCGAGTTGTTCACAAACATTTATTAATGCACCAAAAGATCAGGGATACCCTCCTTTATCTGGTAGTTTTAAACACCTTGAATCCAGATTATACTATAAGGTACACTTATCAACTCCTTGATACGAGCCTGAGCGAGTGGAGGTGCCATCAAAGAGACTAATATACAAAAGTTATTAGGATAATAGAAAAGAACCTACAAGCTTACCCGATAAATTAATACGGGGCAGTCAAGCCTGTCTCTCTGGGCTTTCGGAACAGGCACTGTCGGCTGACCCTGAAGTCGCCGATTATGTTCATCATTCTCTTCCAGATGCTTTTGAGAGTTTCCCTTTGGTTGCATTTTTTGTTGCAGTTGATCCGCCATCTTTTGGCCTCGAAGCGATGTGGCATGTGCGGTTGAACTAATTGGTGGTGATAGTCTGTTGAAGGGAGAATTATCCTCGTCACGGTCAGGAGGGGAGGTGGTGGTAGAGGCAAATGAGGCAACTGCAGGGCTAGAGGAGAGGTGAGAGCTTGTGATATCTGCGGAAGATGAGACCGCATTCAGACCTACGGCCAGCCAGCAGCCGTCTGGAGAAAAGCGAATCGACTGAACACTTACACGGACGTAGGGCATCTCTGAGGCCTGGTTCGTTATGGGGCTTGTGAAACCAAGACCAGCTGAGCCCTTAATGGGAATACCAGCTGATAGAATATGATGGAAAGTTTTTTAAATTGTGTGAAGTATAGGTCAGAAATGCTATTTCCTAATGAGAATTATAATTCTGATAGCCTCATGTAAATCTGCCCGTATCAAAGCAATGCTGATAATAAAGCTATGGTGATTTTTCTCGACACCAAACTTGGCTCTTTTAAATGAAGTTGCTAACTGCTAGGCCAATGTTGCGTTCAGGCATATTTCCACTGAACCTACTGGGTAAAAGCACAGCACAATTATGTTCTTAGGTATAACCCTAAAGACGTGGCCCAATTACACCAAATAAAATAAAATAACACGAAAAAGTGGATAATCACAAAAGAGGTTGCACAACCCTAGTCCTTAAATCCAAACTGATGAAGGTAAGCGGTCTAAAAAGTGAGTTTAACCGAATTCCTTAAAGAAGAATACAAGATAACTGAGGGAGAATTCCACTAGTGCTGCTAACAAGGTGTATTAAGAGTCAGAACTGTAACCCACTGTGATTTAGAAAGTATCCACAAGAATTGAATAATTTGTAATATGTAGGAAAAATCAAGTAAAATATTTATTACCTTATCTCGTTTGTTATTCATCACTTAAGTGAATATTACCTTAGTCTTGTTGCAAACTGTCAATAATTCTATATCGTCTAGCCAAATAGTCTCTTCTTTTTGTCAAGGCGTCCCTGAACCATTCTGCTAATTCCTGCTTCTACATGTGTAACGACTCCTAATACAAAGCTCCCATGAGAAATGTAGTTGGGCTTCTCAGCTTCTGTATTTACAAGGTATGCAAGAAAATACGAACAAGCCATTCTTGAATATTGGCTTTTGCGTCGCTTACACACACAGAGAGAGAAATTCACGATTCTGTTCGGACCTTTGAGCGGCTCATAGCCTTCTTGAGATAGGCAGACATTTAGTTGTCTACTCACTCTGGCTTCTGAATGGCAAACATGTTTGAATTGCGTGGAGTTAAGGGGATTTCTGCAAATGCAATAATTGAGATTTACATGAGCACAAATGAAGCCATTGCAATACACTTGCCTAAGAAAGATCCACTCGTCAAATAAATACTAACAATCCTTGCAATAGCTTAATTTCTGCACAGACCCTGCTACCTGTTTCTTACTCTGCCATTTTGCCATTATTTCACTTTTATCAGATTTTTATTGTCAAATCAAAGCTGACTAAAAGTAGTCCGGGTACCATTGCCGATAATAATGTCAGCAGAGATATGTATAAAGTATGCCAAAATTTGGATTCGAATACTAACTAATCCATCTTAAGCTTTCTGAACTTCCGAGATCTGCTTTCAACCACCTTGTCCCTATTGGGTAAGAATATTTGGGAAATATTTAGTGATTCTAAGTAGTGATAGAGGTTAGTTGTACCTAATTGCTGAGCTGTGATGACATTTCTTCTATAATGAAGAGACTAGAAGCTATCCTCTTCTCGGGTACACTTTTAACACTTCCGATATTTTCAGTGATATGAATTATACGTATGCTTAATCGAAGATATAAAGATCAAAATGGTGTGGCCTTTTGTATGATCACAGTCTCCAATCGTTGTATAGAAGTTGTTTGACCTTGTTTCGTAACTTGGTCATACTGGCAGGAAAACCTAGAGAAACACAGCTTGTCCAGAGTTCATAGTATGCATGATAATTTCCGGAGTCTGACCGTGGACTTGGTACATTCCCAGACTGTCCGCCGGCATCGTAATAGGCATAGTAATTGAGTCCTGTCCCTATTAGCACAACACCACAACTCATCAAAGAGACAAGTGAAGTCGATAAACGGACCCAATGTCTGGTAAACAGTTGTAGTACCTCTCCTTTTGAGGACCGCTTAAGTCGGGAAGTAATTCTGATCCTAACTTATTTGTTAGATATGTGGATGATTATTTTGTGACCTGGCAGCATGGTAAAGATAGTTTAGATAGTTTCCCATTTTAATTTAACCAGCGTGAAATAAATATTAAATTCACCATGAAATTAGAATAAAATAGGAAATTACCTTTTTTGGAAGTTATTATTTTTAGGGAAAATGGTAAGTTAACAGATGTTTATAGGAAACCAGAATATGCAGGCTTTTTTCTTAATTTCTTTCTAATCATAGTTACAAGACTAAGGTAGGAATTTAAAAATCTATGGCTAATGGGAGTGTGAGGTTTGCGGATGAAAATCATCTGATCGAAGAGTAAAGAAGACTTAAAGTTTTATTTCTGGAGAATAATTAACCTTTAGGCTTAATAGATAATAATATATTATGCGAAAAAGATCTTGGATCACCGTCTTACGACCTTGATGACTCCGTGCTGAGCGTTCGTCCGTTCTATGACAGACATCGTCAGAGCCAGAAACCATTATTAACTAAAAATCACCAAAAACACTAAACCGAGAAAGGTAGCCAGCTGATATCCAACTCACTTCTTATACCATCTTAATAAGGCATTCCATGATTTTGTTGTCTAACGTATGTTGTCCCACACGCATGTAAGCGGGTCAAAGTGATGCAAGCAGGAGAGCAGATGTGGTCACAAC